CATTGTTCTGCTGTTTTCGACTAAATAGAAGTTTCTGCACATACTCCTTCCGTCCCGAATTACTCGTCGCAAGAATGGATGTATTTAAAACTAAATACGACTAGATAAATCTATTTCTGCGACGTAATTCCGGACAAAGGAGTATGATTTTTACCACCTTAGTTGCCCTTCATGACGTGGAACTTAGTGGACTTGTATATTTTTTTTGGCGAATAGACTCGAAATAAATTCGTTAATTGATTAGCCCCACCAATCTCTCTCTCTCTCTACAAACGTTTTCTAAAATTCCACACGTCCTGTACAGTAATTTTAGTTCCCTCAGTTCTTATTAAATTTAGAAGACTGTGAAATAGCAAAAAGAAATCATATATTTTTTGGACGGAAAAGGAAGTTAGGTGTGCGACAGTGCGATATATGTGCATTCCAAGGGCGGGCAGAGGGTAGGCCAAGTACGTACGACGATGGTGCTGCATGCAAGCTATAGGCTTGAGCCATGCACGCATGCATCCACGTCATAGGCCGCCAAAAGTCACGATCCCCTGACTCGCTGGGTCCCACCGCTTCACGACGCGCACCCGCACCGACAAAGGTGGTCATTTATTACCTTATCGACGTCGCGCTCGCCGCCGGCTGCGCCGCCGTAGTACAGCGCTCCCTCAAGACAGTAGAGGACGCCACCTGCCTCCTCGGCGAGCTTGGCGAATCGTGCCGCGGCATCGGGGCCCGAGAAGAAGGACGAAGACGACGATGACGGCGACTGCGAGCGCCAGCTCCCGATCAGGCCCTCGTCCGCGACGACCGTGCCCTCGACGTAGTCCATGAGCCCGGACAGCGCGTCGCCACGCTCGACGTCTATGAGCCGCTCCTGGTCGCCGGTGAGTGCGGCGGCGCCCGTGTAGAGGAGCCGCACCCAGCGCGCCCTCGTCGGCGCTGGCACCAGCGGTATGCGCGCCCGCGTTATGACGCCGAACTGCCCCAGCCCGCCCAGCACGGCGTCGAACAGGTCGGCGTCCTTCTTCTTCGAACACGTCACCATCTCTCCGAGCCCTACTTATTTACAAGCAGTGGTCAAGTAAGGAGTACGCAAGTGAACTTGCTGCTTGTAATTAATGAAGTAGTGAGCGTGCAGGTACGCAGCGCACGCACCGGTGATGACGTCCAGTTCTTGGACGTTAGAAATCTGGGGGCCGTAGCGGAAGGCCTGGCCGCTGATGCCGGCGTTGGAGAGCGTCCCGCCGACGGTGAGGTGGAGGTAGTCGGTCCACGAACGCGGCGTCAGGCCGTGCGCCAGGGCGGCGCGCAGCACGTCCACCCACAGCTGTTCGCCGCCGGCGTCTATGTACTGGCCTTCGACCGACACGGAGAGGCGGGACGCAGTGGAGCTGGAGCCTCCGCCGAGGCGTCCGAGCGACGGCATGTCGACGACAACGCCGTCGAGCGCGGCCGCCTGGCCACGGACGGAGTGGCCGCGTCCCCGGGCGGACACCGGGAACGGGGACGAGCGCGCGCACGAGGCGCGCAGCAGCGCGGCGATGTCGGCGGGGCACGATGGATAGAGCACGGCCGCCGCCGGCGCGACCGTCACGTTGCCGAAGTCAGTGGACGCGAGCGCGGTGGCCTCGGCGTCGTCGCGGATGAGCGCTCCGACGCCGAGGGCGCGGAGCTCGTCGCGGAAGGGGGAGGCCGGCGTCCACGCGAGCGCCTCGTCGTGAGCCCGTGCTGCCGGGACGGTCTGCAGCAGGAAGCACCCGAGCACGAAGAGAGCAGCCATGATCATCTCCTGGGTGTCTTAGCTTGAGTGATCGATGGATCGATCTCTGTGTCTTTGTGGCTCTTCTCTTGCGGATGGTGGGCTATAAATACCGGCGCCGTGCCTATGGAGAGAGGCTGCGATCGAGTGTGAGCCAGGCAGACAACTTAGCTAGCTAGATGGCGCGACCGACGACTTGGGGTTGGGGGAGAGAGACTCAAAGATTCTTGTTTGATTTTGCCGTACGTGCATTATGATCATGGCAGTACGTACCTACAGTGAATGCACGAACTGTGGCAAAAGAACACGAGATACGTACGTGCAGAGATCTTGCAAATCTATGCTGAATGAATACCGTACAAACAGCGGCCCAGCGAGCTAGCAAGTTGCACCATGTAGCCGGTCCATCCTGCTTGCGTAGGTACGTGTGATAGTACATTTTTTTTTCTTTTCTTTTGAATGATCTCACACGTACTACATATGTACGTGTAGGCTGTAGGCCTGTAGCCAGCAAACACAGACATGCATGTACGCCAGAAAAAAAAGGTCGACTACGTTTGTATACGTACGTATGCCGCAGCAAGAGACGCCAAAACTGTATGCGGCGCAAGCTAGCTGACAAGAACACCAAGGACAAAGCTCCGGCATCATCATGAGAACGTACGAGAGAGTAAACACAAGCATATATACTTGTACATGCATATGGTTGGGCTTGTTGCATGATGCATGCATCGCGACTTCTCAAGTCACAACACAATTGCGTAGTACTCCCTCCTGTCATTTTTAGTCTTAGTATGTATATAAGTTTTGTGTGAAGTCAAAATATATCTTATTTGATCAAATTTATAGAAAAAATATCAACATTTACAATACCAAATCAATATCATTAGATTCATTATTGAATGTAGTTTCATATTATATATTTGGTATTGTATATGTTCATATATTTTAATATAAATTTGATCACACTTTGAAAATTTTAACTTATAACACAAACCTTATACGGGGAGTAAAAGGGACGGGAGGGAGTAGTACTACTATGAATTTGGACGCATTAATGCATACAACGTACGATCAACTACCTTCATTGACAATCCTTCAAATGATTAATCAGTTGAGTTCTAGCGTGCTTTGTGTCAGCATTTCTTTTTTGAGATATATAAACGTGACTAGAAGCGTCTGCACGCTTTGCTGCGCCGTTTTTCTCTTGGTGTCTAGAATCTAAGTTTTTTCATATAACAATTTTTAAGAAGACATGAGATACTTGATAATAAGAACGCTTGCTACCTCCAAAGACAACAAAAGAAAACCAATACACCATCAATAATGATGGGACCTGAAAATATTGGCCGTAACCTGTAAAAGGACAACGATCAGATTATATCAAAACACATACTTGACAAACTACAACATAAAACAAGGTTGTTTTCATCCTTGTTTATCCCTTCAACACGTCTTTGGTGTGGTTCAGTTGTTCCATCGACAGTATGTGCTCCAATTGCCTTATGCCCAGGCATTTGATGGCCCATTTCTGAACATGTAATTTGCACATACTGTTACCCAAATCAAACTCATCTTTATACATAAAAAAATGTTAGTCTGGTTGTTAAGGCCAACGACACTTTACAGCAAGAAGAACTCTTTGGTACACTGAAGCTAACTAATTTGCACAGTTTCAAAAAAAATCAATCCATGATCTTGGTTTACTAAGCAAGGAGTATATAAACTTTGTTATCTCATGGCACAAGTCGGTTAATATTTGGATTGCAAGATCTCTCATGTCAGAGAGTTATGGAAACCATTTGATTTTTCAGTAAAGAAGCCATATGTGCTAACAGTTGCACAACTCAAAGCAAGAAATTAATTTCTCCTTAGCTATACACACCTTATAAAGTATATGATGTTTCATACTCTGTCTTTGACTTAGAAAATATCAACCCCGGGCATGCGACTTTATTTGCAGTATCTTACAATGCAGAGTCATTTGGCTACTTCAAAAAGTTATAATATATCTAGAATTCAGTTTACATCCTTCCATTTTTCTTGTACTGATTCTCAAACTCACCACATCCAAGGAATCAGCCACATGTGGAACTTAGCTGCAAGAAAACAATCGCCATTGCTCATTATTTTGCATAATCACCACAAAAATCATTTCTTGCATGATGTCCCTCCTGCGAATTTCATAGGACGACTTCATGAGAAGGCTAATCTAGTGTGGTACAGAAATACAACATGCCAAATTATATCCTTACATTGAATGGTGCTGATCAAACGCAAAAAATGAAATGTGATTTATTAGCTTTGATGGCATAATACTTAATTCAAAATAAGATAAATTAGTGCCTATTTTGGTTTCTTCTTGGCCAACACAAGAACGTACTACTGCTTCCACTTATGACTGCCACAAACCAGAACAACCTCATCCACCTCGCACATCACACGAAAGTAAGGAACTTGCCATTGGTAGAAGACATCACACGGCATCAAATTTGACAAAATAATAGGTTCATCATCTATTTAACAGCCTTTGTTAGTATTACATTATAATGAGTTTTTAGAATCCATTATAGTTTCTGGTCATTTTTTCTGTGAGAGCTTCTGATTTTCAACGCCTGGATTGGAGCAAATTCACCAACAGTTCCTTTGAGATTCAGAACATGTCCATATACAGAGATTAAGAGTCAAGCGCCATAAGCGAATTTTGAGACATTCATGAAATAAAACGTCATGCGGCTATGGCGTTGCCTAACTCGTGGTAGCACACAAGCACAAAGAAAATAAAAAATTATGGATGAACACACACTATTACTTAACCAGTGCGCTACAATTAGCCAAGAAAGTTATACACCAAATATACATGCATGTCAATAAATTCTATAGGATCGACAAAGATTCAGTAATGGGCATTCAGAAATAACATGTTTCTAGATCTACTTACAATGACAAACACTTATTACCTTAAGCCATTCAAATAGATTGTGTTCTACATCCACAACTGCGACACCATCCTTCTCACCATACAATTCAGAAGGCAAGTCATCACACCAACAATTGAAGAAAAGTCCATCCTACCTGCTCCAGACAACCACAACTTGTTGAGTTAACAGGATCAAATAATTTCCGTTATAAACAGAGCCAAATTTATCAGTTCATACAAAATTGTTACCTTCTTTATACTGCCCGTATGTCAATGTTGTTGCTGTCCCCCCACCAAATCCAGCTTTACCCCTTGTTGTCGTGGAGCTAGAACCTAGTAAGGCCTCTCCATCCCACCGACGGCTAGAGTAGGTAGCGCTTTGGAGAAGGCAAGGCAAGTAGAGCACGACATGGAGCAGGTGGCGGTAGGAGGAGGGGTAGGGAGAACAGGAGCATTGCCAACGCTGAATCCTAGGGTTCATGCGTGGGGGCATCACCTTGACTGGTTCGTGGGGGAAGAGACATGCTTGGGAGGTTGCTGGACTCAGAATCGGATGCGGGCAGTGGCAAGATGGTGCGGGGGTGGTGGCCGGAGCTGGGCGGGCCGTGGCGGCTGAAGCCTGGCGAGTAGTAGGCGGGGGCAGCTGAAGCCTGGCGAGCAGCAGCCAGAGGACCTAGCACGAAGAAACACATGGGAGGAAGAAGAGAAGACTGAAGGAAATATGCCCTAGAGGCAATAATAAAGTTGTTATTTATATTTCCTTACATCATGATAAATGTTTATTATTCATACTAGAATTGTATTAACCGAAAACTTAGTACACGTGTGAGTACATTGACAAACAGAGTGTCCCTTGGATGCCTCTACTAGACTAGCTCGTTAATCAAAGATGGTTAAGTTTCCTAGCCATAGACATGTGTTGTCATTTGATGAATGGGATCACATCATTAGAGAATGATGTGATGGACAAGACCCATCCGTTAGCTTAGCACTATGACCGTTTAGTTTATTGCTATTGCTTTCTTCATGACTTATACATGTTCCTATACTGAGATTATGCAACTCCCGAATACTGGAGGAACACTTAGTGTGCTATCAAATGTCACAACGTAACTGAGTGATTATAAAGATGCTCTACAGGTGCCTTCGATGGTATTTGTTGAGTTGGCATAGATCGAGATTAGGATTTGTCACTCCGATTGTCGGAGAGAGGTATCTCTCGGCCTTCTCGATAATGCACATCACTATAAGCCTTGCAAGAAATATAACTAATGAGTTAGTTGCGGGATGATACATTATGGAACGAGTAAAGAGACTTGCCCGGTAACGAGACTGAACTAGATATGATGATACCGACGATCGAATCTCGAGCAAGTAACATACCGATGAGAAAGGGAACATCGTATGTTGTTGTGCGGTTTGACCGATAAAAGATCTTTGTAGAATATGTAGGAACCAATATGAGCATCCAGGTTCCGCTATTGATTATTTACTGGAGATGTGTCTCGGTCATTGCTACATAGTTCTCGAACCCGTAGGGTCCGCACGCTTAACGTTCGATGACGATTCGTATTATGAGTTTATGTGATTTGTGTACCGAAGGTTGTTCGGAGTCCCGGATGAGATCACGAGCATGACGAGGAGTCTCAAGATGGTCGAGACATAAAGATTCATATATTGTAAGGCTACATTCATACACCGTAATGGTTCGGGTCATTTCGGATAAGTTTCGGAGTACCGGGGGTTACCGGACCCCCCCACCCCGGGAAGTTATTGGGCCTCATGAGCCTAATGGTGGAAGAGAGGAGGCAGGCCAAGGTGTGGCACGTGCCCCCCTAGCCCAAACCGAATTGGACTAGGGCTAGGGGGGCCGGCCCCCTTTTCCTTCTCTTCTTCCTCTCCTTCCTTCTTCTCCTACTAGGACTAGGAAAGGAAGGAACCTACTCCTACTAGGTGTAGGATTCCCCCCTTGGGCGTGCCCCTTGTGGCCGGCCCTCCTCCTCCTCCGCTCCTTTATATATGGGGGAGGGGGCACCCCATAGACACACAAGTTGATCTTTAGCCGTGTGCAGTGCCCCCCTCCACAGTTTTACACCTCGGTCATATT